CTCTCGCCAAAGAGGCCTCAACTGAGGGAATTCCAGTTTGTAGCAATCCATACTTACCAGACTATCTGTTTCTAGTAAAATCTGCTATGTATAATATATGGAAAGAGCACCTAAATGAAAGATCTGTGAGCAAAGGAATATGGTACAGGACCATTCAACCTAACCTCCCTCGAAAGTTATGGTTTGACGGTGCAGACATGACTAGGAACGATATTGTCAATATGTTAAGGTTACGTTCCGGACATATTCCTCTTAATGGATTTGCGTTTCTCATGGGTAAAACAATCTCGCCAGTTTGTTCAGAATGTAATAAAATTGAAGATGCAAGTCATATTATGATGGAGTGTGTCCGGAATGATAATGAAAGAAAACAGTTTTATAACCTTAGAAATATCAACGTTTTTGAAGTAGGTGTATGTAATAGTATGTTAGCATCTCCTCTTTCTGGAGATGCTAACATGCTACTAAAAATAGTGTCATCAGGCCTCAAACGAAGAATATAAAAAAAACATGCATATATATAATGAGGGTGACATGGTTACTGCGTGACAAAACCCTCAAAGAAATAAAGAAAAAAAAAAAAAAAAAAGAGAGTAAATACTCGCCATGCCCCGTTCCGCCCCACCACCACCCCTTCAGTTCAGCTAAATAAAAAAGATTGATCGCCCATCCCATTATTGACTTGTCTTTTATATACTACTCAACACTCAAGCCCTTTTATTTAATGTCGTTATTGAGGGAGTCGTGAGAAATATGTAGGTAATCCAACATTTTTGATGGCGGCCATCTTGGATTTGAAATTTGTCATAGTGTTCAGTATTCTACTACTCAAGCCCTCTTATTTGATACCTATATTGATGGAATGGTGATAAAATATGTAATCCGACATTTTGTGGCGGCGGCCATCTTGGATCGATTTTCATCAAAGTGAAGAACACTCCCGACTAATACACCTTTCAAACAAAATCAAAATCGGTTCATCCGTTCGGGAACTATGATGCCACAAAAAGACACAAACACACCACACACACACACACACACACAGACACACAGACATGTCAAACTTATAACACCGCGTCGTTTTTGCGTCGGGGATTAAAAATATATTGAATTTAGAAAAAGTTATTTGATATGCGGATCTCAGATAAATTTGATATCGATCGAATTGCATCGAGCCATAAGTCTAAGTTAATCTTCATTATGTAAGTCAACTTCTAGTGAAAGTCTCTTCAAAATCGGCCAAGCCGTTTCAGAGATTAGCCAGAACTAACAGACAGACAGATAAAATATATTATTTTTGAATATGTGCCATGTATACACACAAATGTATTTAGTGAAAAGCGGTTATTTTAATATTACAAATATGCACTCCAATTTTTATGTACTAGTATAAGTCTATTGAGAGAAGAAGTACCTTGCTTTATTTGCATTTCTTAATATAAATATATATTTTAACTTTCTTATACAAATATACCTAGGGGTCTTTCGACCTATGCTGAAAATAACAAATGTGTATTAGAAATAATTCAACAAACTATATAAATTCCATATAAATCGAACTTCGTGACCAAAGTTGGAAGTCCCACTATACTGCTCTATTTACGCTCGCTCGAACGTATCTAGATCGAAAAATGGCTCGAAGTAATGCGACACAGATCTAACGTTGAGGAGCGCTCGCGCGGTACTGAGCTCAGACGGCCGCTGCATCTTATTTTGTAGTGATTTTGCGTTTACATTTATCGTATTTATTGAAATAATATAATAAATCTATGCTTTAAATTTATAATAACTTTGTTCTTTATGAAATAGTCATTAATCTGGCATAAATTTTGTTAAATAATATTGTTGTGGCTAAGAGAAATTCAAAGTTAACTTCAAGCAATTTTTGATGTTTTTTGGTTTGTAATATGATTGTTTTTCTATATTTAATCATTGCTATTTCAAAATTTCGAGCTACTGTTTACTTTACGACTATATAAGAGATATCATTCTATTTCTTTTATTTCGTTTGTTAAGAACAGTAGCTCAATCCAGGACTTCAAAAAAGTGTCTTTGCACATTTTATGAAAATCTTTCTCTGGTATTTTGGGTTTAATTAAAAAGATAAGCAAAATTTCCAAAAAGTCAAGCCACTTTTTTCTATACTAAGAGTTATTCTTCACTATTCAACAAGTCAAAATTGTTAATTTGTTTTTGTTTCCGAGAAAAATCACGCAGAAATCACAGTTGAGATGTAATATGGCTCTTAACAAGTTTCGCAAATACACGTGCCACCGGAATTGAAGGAAAACGTATTCCTGCGCCACCGCAACAGTTACTTAGGTACGTGTTTGGCGGGAAAACGATGATAGCGCGTCGCACGTCCTATTCCCCGATCACTAGGACACAACCACGACACAACTGAGCGGCGCGGGGAAGGCGAGCCCGTATCTTACAAAGCGCGGCTTGACAAGTTATAGAGTATTCAAAATGCGCCAACGTTATTGCTACCGTTTTCAGGTGGGACATTTTTAAAGGTTAGTTAAAATACTAATAGTTATTAGTTAAATGCTTCCTTTTGATTAATTTGAAAGTCTCATTTAATGTATTTAAGACTACATTATTCTGAAATTACTTACTTGAACGCCAGAAACTTTAAAAAAACATTTTGTGTCCACAAACGCAGTTCGGACAACCACAGTAATTAGAAATTAGGTCTTTACATTTTTTTCAACATTAAAATACAATAGCTGATGCCTTGAAGGCGTTGACATCTCGAAAATAGCTGTTCAAGTATATGAAAAGAAAATAAGAATTGTCATTGGTAACTTTGGATACATCGATTTTCAGCTCCGCCGGCAAAAAAACGCGCTTGGGAAATTCACCCAAATATACCCTTTGTAGATTTTGTATTAATTTTCGACATCCTATCTTACTAATATTATAAATGTGAAAGTTTATTTGTGTGGATATTTGTCCGTCAATCACGCCGAAAATATAAAACGGGTTTTTATGAAATTTGGTATACAGATAGGGTATTAACTGACTAATACTTTTATCCCACTAAACATATCCCCAGAGACCAGGCGGGCTGCTGGCGAAAGCTAGTAGATATTTATTTTTGAAGTTCTATAGCTATTCTCTACGTTATATATATATTTATACTATATTATTTTTATGCAAGTGGGTATATCAACCGACTTCTTAATGGTTACCACAGTGGTTACATTGTGCAGAATAATAAAAAAATTTGGACTTTTGTTGTAAATATATTTTTTTTTATATAGATATTTAATGGATATCTATACAAAACATTTATATATAGGTATTGTATTTATTTGTTGTATATTTTATATTAAGGGTAATCAACAAAAAAAAAATCAAGAAATCTTTCTGTCACCAACGATTAAAGGTTGTGTTACGAACTCCGTACTTGTTAAACGATTTTATAATTTGCACGGAATTAAATGATGATGAATCCGGTATATTTACCCAATCAAATGGTCATTTAATATGACACATGAAATATTTTACCACGCTTTTATAATTTCCCTCACAAATTAGCCTCCATGTTTAACTACACAGGTCTGCGATGAAAAAGTTTTTTTGAGAATTTTAAGGATAACTTGCACATGTTGACATACATAATGCAAATATAAACTTTTTTTATTGTAACACGTCACATTTTTTTATCGGCATATTATATTTATAATAAATTTTTCATACACCCTACAAATGAACCTCGACCATTTAGACAGATTACCCAAAGATGCTGCAGAATTAATTGGTTCACGCTTAAAAGAGAACAATTTATTGGATGTGGAGACGATATTTTAGTGATATCGAAAAAGAGAACCAGATTTTTACAGTATTTCAATATAGAAGATAGTATGGTATTTTGCTGTGATATTAGCGGCTTAATACAAAAATTTGACAACGAATACAAAGCAGAAGAGTGGCGACTTTTTATAAATTCATCAAAAAGAAGTTTAAAATCTCTTCTCTTACATATTGGAAATAAATTTGCATCAATACCTGTAGCTCACTCAGTTCATCTTTTCAGTTATGCAAACTGGAGAACTGTTTTAGAGTACTTAAAATACTCCAAACACAAATGGTTCGTTTGTGGAGACTTAAAACTCATATGTATGCTTCATGGTCAACAGCAAGGGTACACAAAATTCCCGTATTATATTTGTTAATGGGATAGTAGAGTAAGAAACTTACATTGGGCAATATCTGATTGGCGGATATAGACCTAAATTGGAGGTTGGAGTAATCATAAAAGTATTGTCACAGAAATGTTAAACACATATAAAAACTTGGGTTGTATTATGAGTTGGAAAGTCCATTTTCTGAAATCTCATATTTATGTTTTCCCAAAAAAATTAGGCGATTACAGTCCATCAAGATATAAAAGAGATGGAAAGAAGATTTCAAGGTCGTTGGGACGTTAATATGATGGCGGACTATTGTTGGATGATATGTAGAGATGAAGTAAAAACTAATAAACAAAAAACCATCGGAGCGCAGTTTCCTTTCAAAGAAAACACGTTATTGATTGATTTTTTTTTATTCGTATTTTATTTTACTCTTTTTTATTTCATTCAAACTCAATAAAGCTTATAAAATTGTAAAAAAAGACTTCATTATTTTTAAAAATTTTTGACTTGTAGTTATTTATATGCTAATATTATACCATGTAAATCTGGGAAATGTGACGTGATATATACCAAATAAATGCTGTTCTATATTATTTATAATGTAATTATAACGAATAAGAACAGTTTATGAAAAAAACTTTTCAAAAAAATAATTTCGCAGGCCTGTGTTATGAATCTTTAAATTTTTAGGGATATCTTTGAGTAACCTATTTACAAATGTGTATCAAACAACTCAATCGGGCTAGTAGTTTTCAAGCAAACACAGGAAAGATCCTTTATGTACGTTTTTGCTTTTAAGGCACGAACGGAACCCTGAAACATTATTATTACCCAGTGTTTTCCCTGATGGGAAATCACCTTAGTGGGATGCGAAGGATCAGGCTCGGTGTCACACACGCAGCGGCCGCAAAGACACTGCCCGCGACCTGAACACTTCAATCCAGATGTATCGTCTTCTGGTAAGCAGTTTTCCTCTAGTTGACCTGCCGCGCAAGCACATTTTGCGTTGTCGGCGTAGCTCACTGAATTAAAAAGATAAATTATTTCGACGAAGCGAGTGATAGAGTAGAATCTCAACCTTTTTTTATTAAAGTAAGCCTTAGTCCGTAAACATAAAACTTGATACAACTACTATTACATATCGACGCTGGAAAGCCAACACGTAGTAACCCGCAAAACCAAAATTGTTCTTCAGAGCAGAAAAGCTTTTATTTTTTTCCATTAATAATTCTTATAAACGTCCATGGTAACAAATTAGGTGTTCCTTAGTCAATTTATACGGAAATAAGAAATATTTTTTTGGAAAAATACAAAGATTTTCCACTTTAAATATCCATTTTGGTTTTGCAGGTTACTACGTGTTTGCTTTTCAGCGTCGATATGTTCTCACTATAATGTGAAAATTTATTTTCAATACATTTAAATATGGTATAGTTTTCATTGCGTTAATTTATCGATTTAATTAACCTTAATTATTTCTTTATAACACTTACTACAACACGGCTTTTAGGGAAATTAATACAGTAAGAATAAACAAGGAACACAAATTGCGGCAGTATTGCCAAGCAGCAATCTCTTCCAGGCAACTCATGATGAGAAAAATAATGAAATGTTGTACTTGTACCTATTATTTAGGTACACCACGCCAGTAATGTTGCAATATCTAACAATAATTTATCTATCGATAGTTGCAAAATATAATAAGGCTATTGTATTATATTTCTGAATCTGTCTTAATGTTGCAGTGAATGACTATATTCGTTTATTTCTTATTATAGGTAACATACGTTTAAAATATATTAGTTTATAACTTGTGTCGTCTTCGAGTTTTCGAGAATTCATATTTGACATTATAATACAGATGGTAAAAAATATTTTTCTTTGATTTTCACATAACGCAACTTAATTAAAATAAAAGTAATCAACAACATTTGAAAACACATAACGTCCCAGTCTTTTTGTTGGTCTATTTATTTACTTGTTGATCTAAAATAATGGGTAATGTACTCACAGCCATGATTTTGGTAGTGTATAGTGTTGTTCTTACAATACCCTTCAAAATTCTGCACTCTTCTAGAGAAACATTTGTTTTCTGTGTCACACCAAGAACACTGATTTAAACGAAGACATTCCAAACAAGACCTTTTCACGTTACAGACCCAATTTTCATTCAAAACGAATGGGTTTCGTGTTCTGGCTGTCACTAATGTAACTAATAAGCAAGATATAAATACGTTTAATAAAAACTTCATTTCCACTGTATTGACGATCTTGTATCGTTCCGGAAACATTATATACTGGTGATATTTATTGAATAAGTCTATGTGCCTTGAGAAGATAACCTTTTAACCACATTGCGCATTATGTGTGTCGTGTGTTCATTATAAAATTGTCTAATCTAAACAATATAAATATTATCCTAATATAAGTAGATATATTGTTTTAAATTTTTGTTTTAAGCCATGAGATTAAAACCAGGGAGGTAGAATATGTTTGCAGGTGAATCGTTAAACTGTAATTGGGTATAATGACACATGGTTAGCAAAAATATTTTGAATTTCAGGAAAATTTCAGGACAATATATTGAGGACAAGTCTGCCATGTCAATGCGTCCGTCATAGATGTCTGCCATTATTATTTTTGTACAATACTAGGAGTTTCATTGGTAGGTTTGTCAATTTGCTATCAAAATTAGTTTTTATTTCAAATTAAAATTCCACTTCAGTTATCTGAATCCCACAAATAGATCGACAATGCCTAGCCAGTTTCAGCCAAAACAGCAAGTCCCCATAAGTTATTATTACTATTATTAACTTTGCCCACGTTAATAATAGCCTATATCAATGCGTAATGTGTAGTTTACCCTAACAACTTTCATGATCAGATCAGTATCTTTTAAATTAGTTTCTTTTATCAACTTTTTCCCTTTTTCATGAAAATCAAGAGAAAACGAACAAGAAAAATTGGAAATATATACATTGTTTGGGTTTGCTTTTACTGTCAATCCATTTCTTGAGAAAATTCAGTTTATCGGGTGTAGAATAAAAAAAACGCATTTTATTTTAAGTTTTAATCAGCTGCTTAAATATATTGCAGTTATTTGATATAAAATGCTACATCATTTTCTTGGTTCCTGTCACAGTATAAATAATTTATCGACAATGCATGCAATTTGTACGCAACTTCCTGTAAAGCAAATGGTATCCCTCGATATTCTCGACTCTAAAATACAGTGAATCTTTCGAAATTTATGAGGAAACAGAACAAATCATTACATATTCCAATATTTTATATCAACTGTTTGAAGGAAATCTAATTTTGATAAGGAAGAACTTTTGATCTATTGCTTTATCGATAAAGAGTCCAACAATCCAACTTCTCTAAACATGTATGTAAAATATGTATTTCAAGATGTGTATATGTTACATACAAAAATTCGCTTTCCATTTTATCAAAATTTCGATGCTTTTTGTAATATTGATTAATTTAAATTGATATTAATATTATCAAATATTAAATAATGCATTGGTCTTGCGTGAGGCCGTGAGTTAACATTGATGAATAATTTGTTAACATCGATCTTAAGACATTGATCTTTTTTTGCTTTCAACATCGTTGATTATCCGCATTGATTTACGGTCCGATGTCCGATACGGACTTTACTAGGGAACCTTTCTTTGCTAGGGAGGCCGATATTTTGTTTTGAATCTATGTTTTTGATTGTAACCGCGTGAATAAACCTGCGATTTGAATCGTATTGCTTTGATTCGATATCATTTGAAAATCATATCATATGTTTTTGAAAGTAATAATAATGCAATGTTTATTATTGTTACATTGAAGGTTTTACTTGAAATGAAAACGTGTATATTTCAAAAGTCCTATTCAAGGTCCACAAAATCCAAAATTTAAAATAAATATCAAAATTATTCTTAATAGAAAATGCTTAAAAAATCTACTTGGCAGAGCTCTTCGCAGAGCAGTCGCCCGGATTGCGAAAGTTTGTTCGAGTTCCATCTCAGGGTGCCAAGGACCAAGTAGATTTTTTAAGCATTTTGTATTAAGAATAATTTTCAGTATAGGATTGTGAATGCGAAATTAATCAAATAAATATCAAAATATCCGATATTTGATATTTATCCAATATACATCATAACACATGAAAAGCTGCGAATTTTAAGCTACTGGTACCTTTATTTAATCTTTTAATCAAAAGTGTAAAATAAAGCTTTGTTTAAATATCCTATTAATATTATAAAGGCGAAAGTTTGTAAGTATGGATGTATGGATGTTTGTTACTCTTTCACGAAAAAACTACTGGACGGATTTGGATAAAACTTTACAGCAATATAGGTTATACATCAGAATAACACATAGGGTACTTTTTACTGGGAAAACTTCTCACTCCCACGGGATACCGACTTCCACGCGGACGAAGTCGCGGGCGTCCACTAGTTATAAAATAATATAAAAAGTAGTATGCGTGCGAGTATTGTCGTACTGTACGTGTAATGTCTTACACGCCCATTAAGCAGCCCAATCTTGATAACTTCAATGTGGATTTGTTTTCAATAGATTGGAAGTCAATAGAGTCTCTTGGTACGGTGGACGATATGGTGTATTGTTTCCAGCAGTTGCTTCTATCTTTGTTCGATAAGCACGCTCCTTATAAGACTGTTAGAATTATGCCCGGAAAGTCTTTTCCTAGGATAACCGATACCATAAAATGTATAATGGATTTGCGTAATAATGCTCTCAAGAAATATCGGGTTACCAGGTCAAAGGAGGATAAAATATCCAGGAAGAATTTGAAAAGGATGGTGGAAGTAAGGTTTGCTTCAGAGAAGTGTTCTTATTTTGGTAATTTTGTAAACTCTAAGGATTGCAATAGCAAATCTTTTTGGAAAAGGGTCAAAGAAGATATTATTGTCGATCCGTCACGGAATTGTGATCTTCCTGATTCTATCTGTGATCCAAACGCAATTAATTCCCATTTTCTAGATATTCAGGGTGCTAATTTTTTATGCTCTACTTATATAAATTATTTTAAATCTTCTCGTTGCGGCAGTTCAGTGTTTAATTTGAGTCTTGTGACTGAAAGTGAGTTGGCGCAGTTTGTTCTTTCTTGTAATGCTAATGCATGTGGTATCGATAGATTGAGTAGGTACATGGTCCTGATAACACTGCCAAGTACTCTAAGTGTAATAACGACCATTATTAATTTGTTCCTTACTTCTGGAACCTTTCCTACTGGATGGAAGCATGCTTTGGTAACGCGTCTTCCCAAGGTAAATCATCTATCTGATTGAGGGACCTTAGGCCAATTAGTATCCTGCTCTTCTTATCGAAAATTTTGGAAAAAGTAGTGTATGCGCAACTATACAAATACCTCGAACGTAATGGAATTCTTCCTGCAATGCAGTCCAGCTTCCGTAAGAACCAGGGCACATCTACCGCTTTACTAGACGTCGTAACTATATTCTGTCTCAACAAGTTACCGGGTTTGGCACCATTCTCACGTTGCCAGATTATTCACGTGCCTTTGACAGTATTAATTTGCAACTTCTCATGGCCAAGCTTGTGTACTATGGTTTGGATAATCTGTCGGTGAGATGGTTCGGCAGCTATCTATTATAGGGTTACAAGTTAGTCAAGATCAGTGGGCTTTCCAGTCATGGTTATTCACGTGTGTCGAATCCCAGGGAAGTATTACGTGGTGTTCCTCAGGGCTCAATTCTTGGTTATGCGGATGATGTGCAACTTTATATATCTACACGTCCTGATTCAATACAACGGGCTGTATTGAAGCTCAATGATGATTTACAGAGGATCGTAAAATGGTCAGATGATGACGGGCTGCTTTTGAACCCCTCAAAGTTCAAATTTATGGTGATGGGTTCAAAGTCGCAGGTCATGAGATGGGAGAGAATGATAGTATCATTCTCTCCCATCTCATCGTATCTCTTGGGCACCAGACTGTGCAAAGGGTTGATGAGGCGCGAAATCTTCGAGTACTATATGATTACCAATTGTGTTTTGAGACTCACGTTATAAATGTCATCAAGAGTTACATTTACCGTTTATTGGTGCTTTATCGGGTTTGTAACTTCTTCAGCGAGAGGGCTGGTATTGTGTCGGGTTCGATACTTAGGCAAATGAATAAAAGGCTGACTAAGCTTAAAAACTTGATTTAAGTAATAAGGAAAATTGTAACAAACAAAACATTAATATGAAAACAGTTCGTATGATTACCTTAATAATATAATAAAATAGAACAAATACATACCCCGTTTCTGGGCTTTCTGTAATAAATAAAACTTAGTAGATATTTCACAAAAATACCTATACGTTTAAATGTTTTTTATAACAATAATAATAACTTTATTATTATTATTTTTTTCAATATGAAATTTAGCCAACATCCTGTAGTGAGAGAGACACGTGATTCAAGAGATTGAACGGTAGTTATATATGTAATGTAAATGTAAAATAATTACATATGTACGGTAATTAATTAATTCTTCCTTGAGATTGTTCTTTCTCTACTAAAAAAAAAACAACACTATAGGTAACTACAATAATTTAAATACATAAAAGGACAACACAAAAGTAAATAACACTATAACTACAATATTTCAATACATAAAAGAGAATATTGTAACACTTATTTTTATAATTTGATATTATGTTTTTTAATAAATTTGCAGACGTGAAAGACGAATACTTTTGACAGTTAAAAAAAAATGTGATCAGTGGTACCTTCTTTAATTCCACATTCACAAACAGAACTATTTAAAATTCGAATCTTTGCAAGAAAAACAGGTGTAGTTACATGTCCAAAACGAAGACGTCATATGGTAGTGACGATACGTCTGGGAATATCACGAAATTTATAGGACCAAGGCTTATTCGGCACAGAATTTTGTAGGCTACCATAATGTCGTCCTATAATTTTAGAAGTAGGGGTCCATCTTGTTCCCCATATATTTTGTAGGTCAGACCGAGCTATTTGTAAGATATCCATAGAATAGTTCTGTAGATGAGAGGGATCACCTGTCATAATAGCCTCCTTGGCCCAGGTATCCACAATTTCATTATTTCGTATGCCGCTGTGTCCAGGTATCCAAGCTAAAACAATTTCAATATTCTGGGAATGGCATTCATGAAGCAGATTTTTAATTTTCAAAATTATCGGAGAAGGTGCTTTGCTTTTAAATAAATTACTTAAAAGAGCTTCTAAGCTACTTTTTGA